GTTTAGTATTTATCTACAGTAATAAGTTTAAATAAAATTCGTTTTAAGATTTTATAAGTATCCCATGCCTAATTTATCTCCATGTTAGCAGGCATTTGCCTTATTTACAATTGTTTTGCTAAAATGGGCTACAATATATATCTTGTCATATATGCCAAAGTTTTAGATCTATAAAAAGTTGAGAATATGGGCTAAAAAGTATGAACCTTACTAGATATTTACCAAATGGATTTTAAAACTCTTTTAACAATTTGTAGTGTCACCAGCAATGTGTATCTCTTCCTATGATTCAATACCTTTCCAAAAACTAGTGTCATCATTCTTTAAAAAGATCCAAACTAAGTCAGAGGTTTGGTACTATCTGACATTAAGACTTACGATAAAGCTGTGGAAATCAAGAGAGTGTGGTATTGATGGAAAGAATAGACAAATAGATCAATAGAACAGAGAGCCCAGAAATAGATTTTATATATATATATATATATATATATATATATATATATATATATATATAAACTGATCACTGACAAAGGAGCAAAGGCAATACAATAGAACAAAGATAATCTTCTCAACAATGGTGATGGAACAACTGGACACCATATGCATATATATATATATATATATATAATACAGAACCCTTCATAAAAATTAACTCAAGATAGATCATAGACCTGAATGTAAAACACACAATTATAAAATGCTTATGATAAAATGTAGAAGAAAATTGATCTTGGGCATGGTAATGGCTTTTTAGACACAACACCAAAGGCACAACCTATGAAAGAAATAATTGATAACCTAGATTTCATCACAAGTAACAACTTCTGCTCTGCAAAAGACAGTAAGAATGAAAAGGTAAGCCACAGGGTGGGAAATAATATTTGCAAAAGACACAACTGATAAAGCGCTATTCAAAATATATAAAGAACACTTAAACTCAGCAATAAGAAAACCTCATCAGTAAATGTGTCAAAAGACCTGAATAGACACCTTAAAAATTAAAATAGATAACAAGCACATGAAAAGATTCTTAACATGTCATAAGAGAACTGCAAAGCAAAACAAAAAGAGATGCCGCTACACACCTATTACAATGGCAAAAACTCAAAACACAATAGCAAATGCTGGCAAGGATGTAAAGCAATAAGAACTCTCATTCGTCATCTGTGGGAATGAAAAATGGTCAAGCTACTTGGGAAGACTGACAATTTCTTATCAAACTAAACTTACTCTTACCATATATGATCCAACAATCTTGCTTCTTGGTATTTCCCCAAATAAGTTGAAAGCTTATGTCCACACAAAAACTTGCACGCAGATGTTTTTAGCAGCTTTCTTCATAATTCCAAAACATGCAGGCAACCAAGATGTCTTTTAGTGTGTAATAGACAAACTGTGCTAGAACCAGACAAAGGAATATCATTCGGCACTAAAAAGAAATGAATTATCAAGTCATGAAAAGACTTAAATGAATATGACTGACTACAAGAAACCACTCTAAAAAGTCCCCATATTGTATGACACTGTTTGATATTCTGGAAAAGGTGAAATTATGGAGACAGTAGATGGATCAGTGGTTTCCAGGGGTTGTAGAGAGGGATGGATAGGCAGAACACAGAGGATTTTTAAGGCAGTGGAATTATTCTGTGTGATACTGTCATGGGGGGTACACGCCATCATATGTTTGTCAAAACCCATGGATTATACAATACCAAGAATGGATGCTAATATAAACTCTGGATTTAGTGTATAATGATGACTCAATGTAGGCTTATCAATTTTAACAAAAGCCTGTTAAAATATCTCAAGTGGGAGAGGCTGTGTCTGAAGAAGAGCCCAGAATGTAATTTCTGTTTAATTTTGCTGTGAACCTAAATCTGCTTTAGAAAATTACAGTCCAATATAAAAATCAAAAACAGATTGCCATCACACCTAAATATAAGAATTCTTCCTTAACAGTGTAAAATACTGTGTTCAAATATTCACTTGTCTCATAAAATTTATATATTTTTCTTTTTGTAGATTGCTTGTTGAATAGGATATAATTAACTGTCTTTTATACTGCAGGCTCTCTTGCTTTCTTTCTCTGCAAAATTTTATTTGGTTACAATTGGTCATTGAAGCAATTTGGTTCTTTGTCCACTAGTTTCCCACATTTTGGAATTTCTTGACTACATAACAATGACATTATTCAATATGTTTTTCTTTTTTTATGTCCTATGAATAAAGATAAAATTTAGAAGCTTGGTTGGATTTAGTTTTCATGTGCATGAGTGTGTGTGTGTGTGTAATTTGTGTTATTTGTTTTGCTTTATTTGGCATGGCTACTATTCATGTGGTGTTCTGTTTCTCCCTCAGGATGCACATAATGTTTGGTTGTCTCTATTGATATTAGCAGTTATATATGATAACGGCATAGATCCATTAATTCAGACCAAAATGCTATTCTAAAAATTTTTTTTAACGTTTATTTATTTTTGAGACAGAGAGAGACAGAGCATGAACGGGGGAGGGTCAGAGAGAGAGGGAGACACAGAATCTGAAACAGGCTCTGGGCTCTGAGCAGTCAGCACAGAGCCTGACGCGGGGCTCGAACTCATGGACAGTGAAATCGTGACCTGAGCCGAAGTTGGATGCTTAACCAACTGAGCCACCCAGGCGCCCCAAAAAAGTGCTATTCTAATTAGATCATGTCTTCTTTGTATCTTAGGCAGAATACTTCCCTAAAGAGAAGGTTCCTTTGTCTAGTTATCTAGTGCTTGGTTACCCAGTAGAATAGTTAGTGGGGGAAAGATGAGATAAATGTGTGATTATTTCCTTTTTTATCAGCTTCAAAATAATGGAAAACATCTTTCAACCATAACCAATTGGTGGATGGTAGTTCTTTTTTGTTTTGTGTTTTGGTCTCATTGTAATTTCATGGTTTTAAATATATTTTGTACATTTTTATCTATTGCAAGTAATATTGATATTCAAACTTTTCATATTTTGTCCATGTGGGATCCTTTCTAAGAGGACTCCTGCATCATTTTGACACAGCACTCAACATCTTTGAAACATTCTGTACTCTGTGTCATGACAATATGGTCCATTTCATCTTGATCCCTCCTGCTTGTCTTTTCTGTAAGAAGTTCTAGTTCCTTCTGATGAGAGAGAAAAAAATAATAGATAGATGACAGATAAATAGAGATAGATACATATGAAATACCTATATAATTTAAGACCAAATTTTATTCATTGTTAATGGTTGGTTATTGTTTCTAAGCTTTTTTCTAGAAACATACAGGAAATGTGTTTATTTTTTCTTAAAGATATTTTTATTAAAATTTCTCATGAACTCATAATGATGCATCCAATTCAAATTTAGGGCCTCCAAGGTTTTTATTTAATCTCTTTTGCATTATATATGTTTCTCTCATATCTATACTGAGAATTCCAGTTCTCAATAACACTGAGACTGTAGAATTAGACAAAGAAAACATTACTCATTTGCTTTATCCCACAGTACACGTACAAATATATCAGTATAAAAATACAAACACTAAAACAAAAATGATTGCTTAAATGTTCAAGATTTTCTTTTGCACTTTATTTTTGTCAAATTACTATGACTTAAAGTCACTTTTTAAAAATTTCCTCTCTTTATACTATGAACTAAATACACATTTATGTTTGTATGTCTCTTGTTTTGCTTCTTTTAAAAATTTAATTCTAAAGGTAAATGTAAAATGTTTGTAGATTTCTAAAGTCATATCTACAAAACAAGGAAGTCCAGGATCTGGGTTTGCCCCTCTATGCTATTCTCGCTCTCTTCTTAGAGCCAACAGTTGTCCCCCTTAATGTTTAGTCTTCTATCGTGTACTTATTTTTGTGTTTTAATGTAAACAGATACCTCTTTCAAACTTCTGGTATGCAGGAAGGTTTCTAGTGGTTGCCTTCATACACAGTACCTTTCCACAGCATTCCTAATCCTTTTTTTGAGGGGTGGGGGTATTATCTAATGGTTCCTTATTATAAGTAATAATAAATTAGTTACTAAATTCTGCTTCCTCCTGTCCTCTCTTCCCCAGCATCTAATTTGAACCATTCAGTTTAATTCACAGTTAATAACTATAAGGTCATCAGCAAGCACATTCTATTCCCTATTCTCTTTAGAGTTTGGTAATGTTTTTCACATTTGATTAAGCCTCAATTTTGAATCAATCCCATCTCTACATATTCTCCAATTTTCTTCATTTCCTAGAAATCATAAGTTCAGAATATTTTAAAATATTATATTCTGAATATACCATATGTTACACTTTGAATCATATTTATTGAATATATTATCTAATTTCAGTTTCATACTTTAATGAAATGAAATGCTTAAATGAATTTGTTATAACTTAACATTTCACCCCCATCCTGTTTTTCAACTTCCGGGATCTTTTGAAATTCATTGTAGAATCTAGAGGGATTTACTATCGACGTGTCAAAGGAATAGAGCTCAATTTCAGGTCAAAATAAGATTCACAGCAGATGAGAACTGAAATATTGTCTACGTTATGAGAGAATGGATATGCTGGGAACTTGAAGATCTGATGGATTCCAAGGTCACTTACCAATCTTAAAATCTTCTCAGCTTCCAGATATATTTTTTAAACTCCTATATAGACACAATGTTGGATGGATTCTCTACTTATTCTTAATAATGTCATACAAGTAAATAGAAAACAGTTGCAAAGTTTTCTTATATCAGGTGTACTTTAGTTACATAAGGCCTTTAACTCCATATTTATTTAAATACCTGTACACAGGTATAGGTATATTTTAATACATATTTTATATAGAATATGATTCATGTATTCCTTTAACAAACATTTATTGAACTGCCTTTTGGTACACTAGGCATTAACTTAGACTCACCCAGAAGAGTAAAATAAGACCAGCCGAAATTGAAATATCCCTGAGTTTGAAACAAAATATGTATAAAATCTTAATGGGTTATAATTACTCCATAGGCTGCAGAAAGCAGAAGCTGCCATGACCTGAGCCACAGCCTTTCTAATTCTGATAAAAGTAAGCAGTATTTACATCATCCTTAAAATTGACAAAACAGATAATGGAGGGAACAAAATGGAAATGGTTTACTGTTGGCTACCAGGAACCCTAAGGAAAGATATGTTCTTTCCCTCACCCTATTTCATTAAGCATATCATACTATCGATATTTTCAGTTGACAGTAAGGGTGCAGCCTGAAACTTCAGCTCTGTGAAGTTTTTCAATACTACCTACTCTTCGTTCTGTCAGTCGCATGAGAGAATGTATTTATAGAAACCTATTTTTGTGTGCCTCTTATGGACCCTTCACTGGTGTTGGGGCTTAACTTAAAACAGTAAGTCAGGTACAGTGCAAGCCTTATGCTATTTTACAGTCTAGGAGCAGAGGCATACAAACAAGCACTTCTAAATGCAGAGTGGAATGTGACAAGTGAACCTTCCTTATAGAATATCTAATTGTAAGCAATCAAATGGATGGGGAATACAATTCCAGGCACCTGGCTGGGCTTAAGTATTCCTATATTGTAATTTGATTTTATGGCACGGAATCTACTCCGAAACCCAAAATACGGGGTCACCCGTACTTGGCAATTGTGCACAGGGAGTGTAATATTGTGTTGGCAAGGAGAAAAATAAGAGATCTCATTCCACCTTTAACAATGTTGCAGTTCTGGCCAACAATTTAAAGAGGTTATGACGCCACTGACCTAGAAATCATAATGCAAACATAGCTCCAGCAATCGCAAATGCATATACTTGCTTTTAGAACGTTTATAATTTGTATAAGTACATTTTTAATATTCTTTACATTTTCAGTGAGTTGTGAATTAGGTTTGTTTGCAATGTGCAATGGCTTAGAAAGCAGAATATCTTGTTGTTAAATAAGATTTGTATCATTATAAAAATGCACTTAAAGAAACATTTTAGTAGATGAGCATAGATCATGGCATACTTCACCATTTTGTTAAGTCACAGAAGCAATTAGGAACTTTGATTTTCCACCTGTATGAGGAACTGACTGAATATCATTTCATGATATTGGTGAAGAGTTTGAAAATCTATGTCTGTATTTGCCTGGAATCATTTTTATGGCCAATTAAATCTACTTAAAAGTATGCTAAATAAATGACAAAGATCCTTTCTTGAGGAGGAAATAAAGGTGTAAATAAATCATGTATTTTGAAAACTAAAACTGAAAAAGAAACCAACAGTAACAAAAATAAATGCCATAATTATAACTCCAACTATATAATTCAGTAAATTATATCTATATGTATATATCACATCAAAGCATTTGCCTATGTTATTTGTAAGTTTAAGAGCTGTCTAACGCATGTGCTGTATAGATTAGGAACCCTGTCTTATTTTGTAGGTACATAAACATTACTGGAGTCATAAAATAACAAGGTTAGAGAGGATCGATCATAATTTTTGCGAGGTATTATAGGCTTTTTAGCATTTGATAGATATTGCACAATTAAGCAGATGACATTTTTCTGCATTTGTTTGCATCAGAGTATATTTTGATAGTAAGAGAGGAGTAACTTCTGGAGGGTGAATATGGTAGCGTGAATCTAGTGGTTTAATAATAGTACGATAGAACACAGCACAGACCACACTTGTAATTAAATCTCATCTGCTTCATAAGATAGTCATCAGTACATATGTTTGAAACACAGATCTGAATGTTCTTAGATTTTAGAGAGGTTGTAGCTTTACTTCAGGATACAAGGTGGTGCTGTTTCATTTTACAAACAAAAACTACTGTTACCAAGACCTGGCAAAGCTAGAATGAGGACATCATCTCTTATAAAGAGAGCAAGCATACAGAATAAGTACTGCTACATGCCAGTTATGATTTCATTTAATGGAAAAATAGATAAGTTATATCTATATACACTGCACAATGTAAATACAGAGCCAATAACAATATTCACCCAAGGATGAAATGTTCATTTTTCAGTAGTTTACAGGGTTCTATGGCCTGCGATATTTGCAGTGGCTGCAGAGGCCCTGGCCTTAAGGGAATAAAAATATGTGCTTTATGAAAAATGAGTGAAAAGTTAAGGTGTATTCCTAGTTCTTAGTGGCTCTTTGTACTGACAACCAACTATTTCACTGGTTTTGTAAATGAAAATCTAAGCTCATCTTTTAATTCCAAATCTACTGACCTGTACCATTAATGAAGACCAAGACTCCACTGCCGTCTATCTATCTATTCAAATGCTAATCACCATTGCCAACTTACTATATGTATTTAAATACTACAAAAAGTGAGGTTTTTTTCATATCAGCCTTTCTCTGTATTTATCATTACTCCGCGTGGAGAATCTAAATGATAATGTGGGCTCCTCTTTCAATGTCAGATTTCCTGTGTGACATCAGTAAAATTAAATAACCTTTCTGGGCCTGATTTTTAATTCAATTATGGATACTTTAATACTAACATTTTTATGGCAGTTCTTGAGATGTTTGTAATGTTTGTAAAACAAATTGAGAGGTTATTATTTTTAATCATTGACATGTTTGTTTACTGAAAATCGGTAGAGAAATTTGGCTGTTTTGTGTATGTTGATATCCTTGGAAGATTTTTGATTGACATCTATAACAATTTTACCAGATGTTTCTTTATACTTCAATCTATTTATCTATTTGGTTGTTTTGTGCATGTTGATATCCTTGGCAGATTTTGGATTGGCACCTATAACAATTTTCTGAGATGCTTCTTTATACCTCAATCTATTTATCTTATTAGAGGTTTTGGCTACTAAAAAGAAAAAATAACCCAGAACCTCTGCTGAGGACTTGTGAAATGTAATTATACCCTTTACTGATTTTTTTTTCCACTCAGTCTTTTTACCCTGACATATCACTTATTTAAATGTCAGCATTAATGTTAATTTACTTTTCTTTTTATATTTTTGCATTTTCTTTACTAGAAGCTGACTCGTATTTTCAAATAATAGGGAAGAAAGAATTACACTTTTCACTTATTTTGGCATAAAATAGACTTATTTAAATAATGCTTTATCCTCAGTTTTACGGACAGAATAAATAGTAGACTCATTTATTGATGATAGATATATTACATAGCATTATTTATTCTATAGAGTACAGAAGTATCATTTATATAACCTTGAGAAAAAGCTCATGCCAGCATAATTTAAGTCAATGAAGGCAAAGAAAGCCACGTAGTTCATTTTGGGAAAAAAACTCAAATAACAAAAATGTTTAATAGATAGTAACAAACTAGGCTTAATCTGATGAAAGGAGATCACATAACCTCTGGTATTTCCCTAAAACTTAATGTCTAGATAGTATGGCATGACTATACGAGATTTCTTGTTTTGAACAGCATCTGACACTTTAGGGGGCACTAATGTGTAGTAATATAAATTATGTTATTGGATCACATGCAAGCCTGGATTTGAAATATAGTTCTGCCATTTGCTATAGTATGGTCTTAAGCAAATAGCCACTTTTTGAGTCTATCCCTTATGTGTCTGTAAAATAGGGATAATACTTACTTCCCTCATGGTTAGATGAATGTTTGTATGAGAAAATTTATATATAGTGCTTAGCGAGAGTAAACACTCAATAAGAATTAACTAGTTAGCTAATTAGTTAATAGTTTCTCTTTCTAACAAACATTTAATTTTTAAAAATCTCCCCAAATCTCCTCAAAATACTTAATTATTAACCTTGACATACTTTGTTTCCTGTCATATACATATGAAAGAAAGAAATGGTTAAAAACTACTTCGTTGATTCTAAAGAGTACGGTATTAAAGGAAGGGGGCAGCATAATGTTATTGTTTACAGAGAAACCTGACAAACACTACCTTATGCGATCAGGGTTTGTTTCAACAGTGATGTCATTTTGAGGATATGGATCCTTGATGTGATCTGATGAAACATCACCTTACCTCTGTGGTCCTCACCACAGAAACCCATAACCTCAGTCTAACCAGGAGATAAACATCAGACAAATATCAATTGAAGAAGAGTCAACAAAATTTCTGATGATTATTCCTCAAAACTCTCAAGACCATCAAAAACAAGCCTGAGATAATGTTACAGCGAAGGGGAGCCTTAAGGAGACATGGTGACTAATGGCATAGAAGTAAAAAGACACGAATCTGAGTCACACTCTAATAAATTTTCTAACTTGGGAGACAGTGCTTGGACATCATTGTTACAACACTCACAGTCACCATTAACATCAGGTGATGCCATTTCGGACACCTCCACATTCTATGCAGGCATAGCGATTAAATAATGGATAGAATGAACATTCAAGTCATTGACTAAAATGGGATAATACATAAACTGTATTAGGAAACACTCAATTTTTATTGAATTGAACAGCGGGAAAAGAAACAGGAAAAAACAAAGAATCTGATGATCATGAGAAATGTTTCTTTGTCATAGAAGAACTTATTTGCAAAAGATCAAGCTAAGGTCAAGGATTTATGAAACCCATTATGAGGTTGAATTAGTATGTTTTCTTTTTAATCTACATTTTTCAGTTTTTTACAGTATTATTTACTCTGTTTATAAATGATGAGGTAATTAGCTGAAAGATAGAACTTATCAATATACCTATAAACATGACTACCTAAGACATCTGGGTAACTGATCCTTGTTCTTATTTTACAGCCCCAAGTCAAGTAATGTACTTACATCAGGCTGTGTAAGCCTGCAGGGGGTGATACATGGAATCTGGGTAGATGTTGTGTATGTGAAACCTTACCTTGTTACAGTATTTTGTATTATGTAAATTCTAAAACTGATGAGAAGCACTTGGTCCAGAAGAGATAGTCCTGGCACATATCAACTAGCTTGAATGAAGACTATTCCAGGTTTAGGTATATAAGCCAATGTATACAAGGCAGAGAGCTAAGAGGGGGACTGAAAACGTCTGAAGTGACTCACACACAATTAGAAAATTACTACTGGCAACACTTTGTGAAGATTTTGGGGTGCAGAATTTTGTCTTTCCATTGGCTGTACAACATG